AAGATTGTTGACAGAATTGGGTTTCAAGCCAGAAAAACCAATGGAGTTACATTGTGATAACAAGTCAGCCATCGATATTGCCCATAATCCAGTTCAACATGATCGAACTAAACATGTTGAGGTGGATAGACATTTTATCAAGGAAAAAATTGAGAAGAAGATCATTCGCCTACCATTCGTAAAATCAGAAGATCAATTGGCAGATATCTTAACCAAAGCTGTTTGTGGAAGAGTATTTCATGACTCACTTACCAAGTTGGGCATTGGTGACGTATATGCACCAACTTGAGGAGGAGTGTTGAAGTGAGTCTCCTAATTAATCAAGGAGATTTATTTCCTTGATTAATTAAGGGATTTACTTTCCTATTTTATATAATTGATAAATCTTTGTATAATTAGGAGATACTTTCCTAATTCTTTCCTGTATCTAATTCCTTGTATAGCACTCTTGTAAACTCTTTATATATAACTCCTTATGGAGAAGAATAAAGAATCTGAACATATTGAAAACCCGTATTCATATTTTAGCAGGAACCTCAACTTCCTTTAGAAGGGTGAGAATGTAGAAGAAATGTGTGTGTATGGTGAATTACATGAAAACTTAAAATTGAAAACAATTTTGAGCTGTTTTCATTTTCAAGTTTTTCATTCCTAAGTTCTGCATTATTCCTCCATCCTCTCTTCCACCACCTTCCTCTATGTGCAAACACGAATATGGCATACAATAATAATATGAAGAAGTAAAGACTTCCCGATCGAGTATCCCGATTATGACGAGATAAAGACGTACAATAATAATATGAAGAGGAAAAGATTCATTTCTCCACACTTGGTAATGTATTGTGCATATGAGTGGTTTTGTGACTATTTCTTTATGAGTTTTGAAGTATTCATGATTTTCTTTAATAATTTTGTAAGTATTCATGAGTAACATACGACCCCAAATGAATCCATCTAGAAAGCCGACGAGTGTTTTAACCATTTGCTAAATGACAGCAATCATAGCCGAATTGGTGGTCATGAAGTAAGTGATACTTCTGGACTTGGACCTGGGCGGCTTGACTTAATTGCTGAGAACCACAGGTCATGCATGAAAAGATGCATTGATCGAAAGGCTAGGCGTTTCTTTTTCTCTCCTGGCTAGAGGCAAAAGCATATGTAATGTTGGGCATTCTATAATTATAATTTCTTGGATTTGTTAGGCTTATTAGTATTCCAATATCAAAACAAGAGGGCAACCGTTTGTGTTAGGCTTCTTTGGGAGTTTTTTAAGGCAAGGTTTTAACGATGTCACATTATGGCTCCTTCGCTGTAAGTGATTCTTGCTTAGAAGCTGATGTAATATTTTTCTGATTTTCTTAATGAAGTTCTACTCTTTTGATAAATTAAAATAAATAAATATAAACAAGAGGACAACCTTCAAATAATACTATTGTTCACATGATACTGAAAAGGATAGGAAATTAGACTTCAATTTCGAATTGTCTATTCAAACTTAAATTGAACTGATATAAAGACTTCAAATAATACTATTGTTCACATGATATTGAAAAGGACAGGAAAATTTCACTTCAATAATCATTATTTTAGTTGAAAGGGACAAAATGGAAAAATTGCTCTATTAATGTGCATGCTAGAAGCTCCAAATACCGTATTAAAGACGTTAACTTCTTTGTAATGTGAAGCTTACAAAGATCTTGACCAAAACATGTTCAATTAATGTGCGTGCTAGAAGCTCCAAATTATGAGGGTTATAAAAAAGACTTGGAATTAATCATAGCCAAAGTGGTGGTCAGGAAGTAAGTGATACTTCTGGACCTGGACCTGGGCGGCTTGACTTAATTGCTGAGAACCGCAAGTCATGCATGATTTTACATTAACAAGTTGCAGTAGTTAGATGTTACTAATCTCAACTAGGGCTTTAAAAAATATGGGGGTCATTAAAAAATTTGGTAAACCATTATTACAAAGAAGCTTGTTATTAATCTCAACTAGGACAAGCTTGTTATAATTTTACATTAACAAGTTGCAGTAGTTAGATGTTGTTTAATTAGTATTAATTATGTGCACTTGTTGTGGAATCTCTCCATTTCCATGGAACTTTACATCTACTTATGAGGCTGTGACTCGGTCTATAAAGAGGGGACCTCAAAAGTTTTAGAGGCAAGGCAATTGCATTTGCTTCCCAATTCTAATTAGCTATAGCTAGCTTATTTCCTTTGCTTTTCTTGCCTCTTTCTGCTTTCCACCACAATGGCTAAGTCTAATCTACTTGGCAAAATTCCTTCCATGGTTTCCTTAATGCTGCTTTTCGGTGTCCTAACTGCTACCCTTACCACAACAGGTGATCTTTCTCTCTTTCAGCCAAAAAAAAAAAATTGATATATGAGCGGAACCGGTTGTATATATATGTCGTCTATGTCTCTTGTCATATGACTGATCATATATTGAGAAAGATAGACACATAATTGTATACAACCATTGAAAATGAAACCGTTTCTTTCGTTTTGTGCAAGTTTTGAAGTTACTAGACATAGCAGAAGTGCATGCAAATTAGTTTATTTACATTGTACCTCTCTAAAAATCAAAGGCTGCATGGCCTTTTTAATTCTGAAATGTTTAAATTCTCAATCATTGAATCTGATGCAGGTGCCCAGATTGGTGTTTGTTATGGAACGCTTGGAAACAACTTACCGCCCCCACAAGAAGTTGTATCTCTCTACAACCAATACAACATCCAAAAAATGCGGCTCTATGGTCCTAACCATGATGCTCTCCAAGCCCTTAGAGGCTCCAACATTGAGGTCATGCTTGGTGTAGAAAATGAACGCCTTCAAGACATTTCTTCTAGCCAAGACAGTGCAAATAATTGGGTCCAAAACAACGTCGTAAACTATGGCGATGTCAATTTCAAGTATATTGCAGTTGGAAATGAAGTAAACGCCACAGGTCCGGAAGCACCATATGTTGGCCCTGCAATGGAAAAAATTCAAAATGCAATTTCTTCTGCAGGACTTGCAAACAAAATTAAGGTCTCCACCGCGGTTTATCCTATAATTCTCGGAGAATCCTACCCTCCATCAAAGGGTTCTTTCAGGCAAAATTATCGTCCATTTCTTGATCCTATCATTGGCTTCTTGGTAGGGAACAAATCGCCATTGCTTCTTAATGCGTATCCCTATTTTAGTTACATCCAAAGTCGTGACATTAGTCTCGATTATGCCCTTTTTAAATCTCCATCCGTAATAGTGAATGATGGTGATCTTGGGTACCAAAACCTCTTTGATGCAATTCTGGATGCAGTTTACTCAGCGTTAGAGAAGGCTAATGGCGGTTCGTTGAAAATTGTTGTATCAGAGAGTGGATGGCCCTCGGATGGTGGCGATGTCCAAGTGACGACGAAAGAGAACGCGAGAATTTACAACTCAAAATTGATTCAGCATGTGAAGGGTGGCACTCCAAAGAAACCTGGAAGCCCCATAGAAACCTACGTGTTTGCCATGTTTAATGAGAATGAGAAGACTGGGGAACCAACAGAGAAGCATTTCGGGCTCTTTTTCCCAAACAAAGAGCCTGTGTATCCCATTGATTTCAACTAAGAGTTGAAATTCTAGTGTACTCTGAGATCAGAGACACCCTTTTAAAGCAATTTAACCGTAATAAATATAGGGTTACTTGTAAACCCTAGTGAAGACAAAAAGGAAACCTTTTTGTGATTCATTAACTCATAAATGTAGATGCCATATATTTGGCCTATAAACTGAAGTATATGATTTGCCAAGTGTATTTTTTTTACATTGTCATTATTTATCTACTTCTTAAGACAAGAACATTTCTTATGATTTTTGTAAGTGTAAGCATTTTGAGATTTACTTTTGGTTTCCCTTGACAATTTTGTAATAGGACAATTATTGTATTTTCTCAAGCTCTAGCTTAGATTAAGAATTACATCTCTAGGTGTTCTTATTTGGCTGCATTATGATGGACAACAATGTGTTTGACAAAGGTAAGTTTTGCATTGCATTAACTAAATTCCTGAAAATTATGACTAGTCATCTTTCCTTCGTATGACTAGTCAACTTTTGTAATGTTAGGATTTCTCACTGTTTCCAGCTGGACCCTACCCATTTGTTTTTGTCATATTCTGCGAAATTCTTTGCTGCCTTGTACGATTCTAACTTAGGAATTTTGGTGTAAAAACCAGCGCATTCCTCATTTGGCGGCTGTGACTTTGGCAGGCAAGTTTTGGAAAGTTTCTTTGCAAACTTTCGCTTCTTCCTCAAGAGTAACCATCATATTTTTCATCTTTGAGTTTTCCAAATTGTTTCTTTTTGAAAACTACATTTGAAATATGAAAACCTCATCTTGCTAGATCAAACACTCTCTCATATATATCTAGGTCAGATTCAAGATTGATTTCTTTAAGAGTATGGTTTCTTGAAGAAATTGGTCATCTTCTGTTTGAATCCAAATTTCGTTTTTGTCTGAGTTAGAGCTAGCTAGCTGGTGCCATGGGATGAATGAGCGAAAGAAAGAGCTGCCATTGCCATGAAGGACCAAGCTGCTAGTTTTTGTAACATCCCGACCCTAAAATAAGACTATTCACTAATTAATTAATTTAAAAATGGAATTTCAAATTTTGCCCTTGAAGTGGGGGCAAAAAGGTCAATTGTTATCCGGGGAGAGTTTGGAACAATGGGTGGTATTTTTAGGAAGGTTGTACTGAGCCGAATCCGTAGACACGCGGAAGGCTCGAATAGGACTTGAAACGAAGAAGTTACGATCGAAAAATCATTAAGGGCCTAATTGAAGATTTTCAGATATTATTTTGGATTAAAATCAGATTTTCAGATTTTCATTTTCATTTTCTCATTTCTCTCTCTCTCTCCCGTGCGTCTCTTCCTCTTCGGTTTGCCCAGCCACCTCCTCACCTTCGCAGCCACCATCACCGGCCGCCACCTGAGCCAAGATCGGACCCATTCGAACCGCCACCTCCTCCTCTCTCTTCCCCGGCCAGCGCAGCCCTTGGAGCCGCCGGAATTCGCCGGAAAACGCAGAAACGTCGCTGGAAATTTCAGTAACTTTGAGGTCTTCGTTCTCCTTCAATTCTCCACCGATTCCGACGAGTGAGGTATGTTTTCTTGACTGTTTTTCGAGCTCTAGCTGCCTGTTAGATAGGTTTCCCAGAATTTTGAGAGTTTACAAGTCAAATTTCGAAGTTAGGGTTCAGCCGGATTTCAATTTGAATTTCCGGTCATTTCCGGCCACTTTTTGGCCATAGCCCAAGAACAAAAGTGACTCCAAATTAGGTGTTTTACCTAGATTAGGAGTTTGGAGCCAAGATTCTAAGATTTTCCGGTCACCTGAACAGTGACCAAGCCACCACGCGCGGCAGCGCGTGAGGCGGCGCGTGGCAGTCCGGCAGAGGTCACATTTTATCCTAAAATGATCCTTACGTTGTCACGAGCGCGTAGGAGTTTACGGATCTCAATTTGGATATCGTATGGACCTCGAACCAATTATACATAATCTGTGATTTTGGGTTTGATGTGTTTGGACCGTTGGATCAAACCCAATTTCACGTATGTTGTTCCTGGTATTCCTAGGATCGTATAGGAATTCGCGGATCGTGAATCGGAGCCCCGGATGTTCCGATTCATCAACTTAAAGTTTTGATCGTCCGGTTGACCGAGTGTCTTCCGAGACTTTTCCAGCGTTTGGAACCTTTAGTTGGGCATTAAGGACGTCTCGTTCCTTGTAATTAAGAGAAACCCGGGAAATTAGGATTTTACTTTAAGTCTCATTTTTGAAGAGTTGGATTTTTGATATCGTGTTCGTATTCTGAAATAGGTATTCCGACT